GGTAAAGATTAGATCTAAAATGTGATTATCTCTTGTTGGAGAGCGCACCAGTTGGGACCAATTAGAAAAATTGACAATATCTTGAAAGGGCTGGAATCTGGGTGGGCAGCTATTGGAAACCCAGTCAATTTCAGGAAGGTTAAAATCCCCAGTGATTATTTTAACATCGAAAGCAGCTTCCGAAATTAATTTAAAGATTTCACAGCGTTGTGAATCATCACTGGCTAAAGAATTTGGGGGATTGTAGATACAGCCAATGATTGCCTTTCTTTGCGGCGAGAGAATAACAGATGCAAAGCAGAAGTTTCCCGTGAATGAGGAAACATCCAAGTAATAGGGAGAGTGCTTTAGGTAGGATTTAAGATAAACACGCCTAGTCGTGCGGTCTTGGCGGTAAAAATCGAAGTCATCTATGAGAAGGGCAGAGTCAGGAATTAGAGAATGTGTCCAAGATTCTGTTACACATATAATATCAGGCGTCATTTCCAGAGCAATGGCTCTGATTTGGGCCATCTTGTTTATAACAGACGTGGCATTCAATAATATAATATCTAATGTGTTTCGAACGGCAATGCTATTTTCGACGGTATTTAAAAAAATTTGGAGGCGGATATGTAAGCTGCGAATTAATGACACCTGGAGAATAAGTACCAGTTAATTTACAGTTATTGACGTATGGGGAGTCAGCAAGAGAAGGCTGAGTATGAGACCTAAATGAGGTGGGGACATAGTTTTCAAACATTGGAATGCTAGGGGATTTAGAACATGGATAGACTTGTTGGTAGTTAAATAATGGAGGAAGGGGAGGAGGAGGAGGAGGAGGGAGGCTAGAAGGAAAGTAGGGGCTAATGGGTGAGGGTAGGCCACTAAAAGAATGAAATGGTGGGAAACCAGGTCTAGATTGGAAGTCAAAGGCGATAGGTTGACGTACCTGAGAGCAATTGGCCTTAAGTTTTGGGAAGCCTGAACTAGGTTAGGGCACAAATGATTTAGGGCAATTCATGTATGAATTATTTGCTGGATATATAGTAGGGCTTTGATAAGTAACCGGTGCGCAGGACAGAGGATATAATTGGAGCTGCGGGGTTTGTAGACGTGCTGGGCTGAACAGACTTGTTAGATCTAAGAGAAGGCGTCGTACCTCCAAATGGAACTGTACTACCTATCTTTTGGGTCGGAGTCTGATTCAATTTTCGAGTCTCACCGTTCTGACGCCAAGCCACTGGTGACTTAGCTGTAGACCTTACAGCGCCCAGTTGGACAATAGAAGTTATCGGTCTAACTGATGTAGACGGATTTTCATGTGTCTCAGCGGGACTATCCGGAGGATACGAAACGACAAATGGGGCTGCTGCTGCTGCTGCAAGTTTAGGGGCAGGCAAATGCGTCAAGTGGCTTGAGTGAGATGGAGATGTAGGAGAAAGAGGAAGGAGGGAGTCAGATGTCGCAGGAGTAGGAGAAGCTGAATCCTTACGGCCACTTTTATTAGGACCGAGTTGGGGAGCATTAGACTGAGAAGCAGTAGGTTTACGTGAGAATAGAGAGCCCATTCTACGCTCCATAGGAGTAAGATCATGACAAAGGAAAAATTTTGCCTTCTCTAGGTACGCAGTGACACGCTCTCGATGAGTAAAGATTGTGTCAACTTCGATTGATGAAAACAATTTGACTAAGATGGGTAGATTTGTACTACGGGAGGACAAGCGTTTGGCATCAGCTATTTTATAGTTGAAACCACATGAATACAGGTTGTCCATCAGTCGATGACCGCCGTGCTTGTAGATCTCAGCTGGGATCGCATCATAGTCTGACGCTTTCCCGCTGGAGAGTTGTTGCACGCTGCAGATGTTTTCCAGCAGGGAGGGCGGGAGATACAGATCGGTGCCAATTTACACTTGCGGGAGCCGGTCGATGGCGGCGGTGGTGGAGATGGCTGATGGGTGACTGAGGACACTGCTGAAGATCTCGGCCCAGTGCTTCAGAATCTGTGACTTCTCGACTCCAAGGGTTGTTCCATCAATGCAGAGAAGCGGGGTAGTTCCTTTGGCTGTGGGACCGCAGGTCGCCTTGATCGCTGCGATGATTTATTGCAGTCCGCAAATCATTAAATCTCTTAGGATTCGCAAGCCATCCAAGCGACCCAGATCACCCACAACCGTTGCTGCACAAGGCTGCGAGGTCGGTAGAGGACCGCTTTGTTTGCCCCAGTCGGACGGTCCATATAGGCTCTATGTGTCCTGTTCATTTCAGTGAACAGGTTGCTGGTCACTTCGCCGTTGCGTTAAACTATTTCTACTGCTGACGACGTGCGCGCTCGAGGCCACCCAGGGTGGTCAAACGGACGGCGTTCCGTGGTTGACACTATTGAGGCTTCACGATGACGTTGTCGTCGGGGGCCGGCAGTTCTTCCAGTCGTTGTGCAACTTAATTGCTGAAATATCGGCGATTAGCTAACAAGTTCAGCAAAACAGTATTTAACTCATCAGTTAGACGTTTACCTTGTGTCCCCCTGCGAGGTTGCATTGGAATCTTCATTTTGAAAACGAAAAGGCTGATATCCGTCCAGACATCGGCGTCGCAGATGGCCTTAATCACCAGCAGGTCTTGTCAGTCTAGCCGCCAGCCGAGAACGTAGTTCAGCAGCTGCCATCGCCACGATCGGGGGTGCATCCATGAGGGCCTTCTTCCGCGTCGGATGGCGGAATATGCCGGTCGGGAGAAGGCGGTATTCCGCACAGGTTCACAGGAGAAGGCTATTTTCGTTGCATCCACGGATATCACAGGGACCCAGCATTTCCTCCCAGGCAGCTTGGTCTATCCCACTGCGGACGTTGAAGTCGCCAAGGACAACTAGTTTGTCCGCCTCTTTCACAAACGCCAGGAGGGGGTGCAGGCCCTCGGATAATTTGCAAAGGAAGGCAAAGAGGCGATTCCCAGGAAGCTGCTGTGGCGAAGGAAACACGATTACTGGGACAAGAATCTCTTCTTTACGTCATCGGATCTGGTCATAGGGAGGCGGGACGGCGTAGGCACTGATGATAGTGGCAACTCTTGCTCCCCGAATGGGTAGGTGTAAACTCACTAGTCGGTTGTTGATCCCCTACATGAGACAGGACAGTCGTTCCACGATGTCGTTCTGAATGGCAAAGGCGACGCCGTGTTGCATCACTCTGCCTTTGGGAGGCCGCTCCAAAAGGAAGGTGTAGCCAGCACTCATCTCCTCCAGTAGTCCTTGTTCAGAGAAGCGGGTCTCACCGAGAGCAGCGATGTCCACCTTGTGGTGCGCCAGTTCTCCAGCGACTAGTGCTGTCCTCTGTTCCGGTCAGTTGCTCATTGCATTGTCTAAAAAGGAACAAACATTCCAGACTGCCAGCGTGATTGGACTCACTCTAAATGCCGGTGGGATGGGCGGAGGGGAGGGGAGAAGCGGGGATTGTTGCCCATTGTGTTTTTTTTCGAGCATAAGTTTTGTATATACATCCACGATACACCAACAGACGGTATGATCCCCCAGTATTAGTCTAGGGCATCTTTTGTAGCGCCTTCCCCACCAGGGCAAGGGCAGTGATGCGCCTAAATAGGACTGGCTTGACGTCCTAGTGGGCTCCCGAACTGCGCTATGGTCCATGACTTTGTGTAGTGGAGAACAGCCCGAGTTAGCCTAGACCACCTGCGGGATGCTTGTCACGTAGGACTTTTGAAGTGGGGTTAGGGAGGGTGAATGGGACCGCTGGGTCAGCAGGTCTGGGCGTACCAGCTGATGCAGCTAACGGAACGGAGTCAGGGGGCGGACAGACTGCGACACAGCCGGGCTTATTGGACACGCATATCTTTGTCCGTCGGACGCAGTGCTTTGAAACGATCCACTTGGCAGGGGAGTGATCAACTATTTATAGAGCAGTGAATCAAGACTAAATAAAAGACACCAAAGCCAGTTCTTGATTATCGGTGGATGTGTACAGAATGAGTAGCCTTCGAAACATGCGACAATCACTTGCAAGATAAAGACTACTTCGCCCGATCTCAGCATCAAGTGACCGGGCTCGGGCTGTCGAATGGTGCATTGGGAAGGGGATAAGGAGTGATGCCGGTATCAGTATTTTCCCCACCAAAAATATCTCCCGGGCCTGTATCTATCACGACGCGATGATATAACTCGATCTTCGTGTTCATCACTCAGTGTGTTGTAGGATGATTTACTGAAAGACTCAAAGTCAGGCTGCAACGTCTCTTACTCAATATGGCCTTAGTGGCACTCTCACGCGTGTGAGATCACAGTCACCCTTGCAGAAGTCTGGCACATGTAGTGGGGACCAGATAGTGTGTGGCAAGCCTAGACGGTCTGCTTGGCCTTGACACCCACTGTAACCTTACTCACCTCCGGTCATACTGACATTTGAAAAGTCAAGTTGGCAAACACGTGTTTTCGGTAATTCTTCGTCAGACCAATGCAGTTACAGGAAGGAATGAAAAATGTACAAAATAAACAGTGTTTAGAGGTGTCTTAAGGGCAATTAAGTCATTACCACTAATTTTCCCCACGCCGCCACATGACGCGATCGGCGGGTTTTGGTCCTTAGAGCTGGGGGAGGGGAGTAAGAGAGTCTCTGAGTGATGTTCCTGGATTGAGTACACGGAGTACCCATCACTGTAATTAGGGATTTGAGGCGGCATGTCGACATCACGTGAGGTTGGCGTTGGCCACGACAGAGAGAGAGCGATTGTGTCAGGGTTTTCTGACAGAATAACACCAGATTCGCTTGCGCTATAGCCACTGCCTCGGCTGTTGCTAGTATCCGTTGGCGTAGGCTTTTAGAGAAGCTTGTTGGTGTCCGGTAGACAACCTGAAATGCTTCCTTGGTATCGACTCGGTGATCCGTATCGATTAAATGTGCGAGAATAGAACTCGAAATCGACCGGGTCTCACCTCTGTCTAGCCAGGCGGCGTATGTTCGTGCATCCTCTTTACCAGGCGTCTCGTCGTACGGTCGATGCATCCCGCCCCACAGGAGCAAGTGAATGAGTACATACACATTGACGTGGCCTCCAACTGTAGTCTGTAGTTACTCCCTAAACGTAGGAGGGGAGAGTTTGTGAAGCATACGCATAAATTCGCCGCGGGGAATACCCCCGTGATAGCTGTAGTTAAACGCCGTCTGACTAGTTCCCCCGCTGCGTTCCCCGCAACAGGCAGTCTTATGAGTATATCTTTCTTTTCTGCGGTCGCAACAATGGGCTTTGCAATGCGTTCTCCAATATTTCGGAGGATAAATCTATCTGGGTATTCGTTCTCGCGAAGTGTGTTCCGCAGCTGTTGAAGTTCTTCTTCAATAGCTTCAGGTGAGCAGATGCGTCTCACTCTAGCTGTCAATCCCTGGACTAGATTTCATTTGATGTTGAGGAGAACAAAACTGTTGAAATTAATGTATTGTCCCGTCCAAGTCTTCTTTCGGAACACCCTGGGCTGGATAGACCCATCCTACTGCCTGTGCAGAAGGACATCGAGAAACGCAATTTCGTTATCTACCTCGGCCTGTGTAGTGAACTTTAGCGAGGGGTGCGCACTGTTGAAATTTTGGACAAGGTCGTCGATATCGGTGGTACCATCCGCCAGACAGAAGATATCGTCCACGTACCGACCGTAGAAGACGAGGTCATTAATGGCATCTTGTAATCTTGTCTTCTCAACTTTGCCCATAAAAACATTTGCAAGGAACGGTCCAAGCGGTGATCCCATTGCCACACCATCTACCCGCCTGTATAATTGACCATTGCACAGAAATTGGACATTTTGTGTGCAGCGCGTCAGTAGTTCTTTTAACGATTTTACTGGCATGCCTATGGGATAGTTAGTATCACGAATAACTTAATTAATTGCCCTTAAGACACCAATAGACACTGGTTATTTTGTACATTTTCATTCCTTCATGTAACTGTATTGGCCTGACGAAGAATTACCGAAAACACTTGTTTGCCAACTTGACTTTTTCAAGTGTAGCATGGGAATATTTGCGGAACTTAGACAGTCCATATTGACATTGTCTCACCATCGGAGCCTGATGGGTGTGGGGGAAAACTGTATGGTTGGCACTGCGCAAGCCTGCCTGCCTCATCATAAACGAATTCACGCCTAACTCACCGATACTGCGTTCATTCCGTGGAGCATGCAGTGACAGTCGTCACTTTCGATATTGAATTGTCTCATGTAGGTTTGGCGGATGTATGGGAACCCTTGGCAATTCTACTGCATACAATCGTCTATTTATATGTAATTGTGTTGCGCGTACGTTCACTGATCATTTTAGGAGACATGCTAATCCCGTTGCGCCTTGTAGGGCAGCCTAGGGCCCTCGCAAATAGTCACATTGCGATCAGTAGTAAGTGCAGAGGAAGGATACCCACGAAGACAAGGGCACTGGGATGATCATCCTTGGCTTATACGTCGTCGTCAGTCGTTCATGCCTGAGCCCAGGCCTGGATGACCTGGAATCTGAGCATGGGTTCTTTGGTCACAATGCGTTCAGTGGTCCAGCTTTCTGCGATTGTGCCGCGAGTCCGTTGTCCTGTTGATCACAATCGGAAATACGAACTATGGTGTAAGGACGTTCATCGAACATGTTGCAGGGCATGCTTGTCTCGGTGCGTCTTGGGACTTAATGTGAAATCCCAGCTCGCCCAAAGATTGTGCTGGGCATGGATGACTGGCGATCGCCAATATTCCAGAAGTAGTCATTTCAATTCTCTTGACTTTGTCGGTGCCCCTATGTGACACTCTGTGAAGGATCTAGATGTAACGGGACGAACGCATCCCGTAACCCGATCGATGAACACACATCCAAGATAATTTAATGTTCCCGATCGCAACTGGTGGGATTACGAGCCCATGGGTCAACCGACAGGGCATTGGAATCACTCACGCTCGATGACCAATAAAAACGGGATCGAGGCTCAGGTGCTGGCCAGAAATGTACATCCCATTCTCCCTCGTCTTCTGTCGATATTCTCCCGCTGTATTTGTTAATAATCACTGTGCGACTGACTGTGGGTTTCTACATGAAACCTCAGCGCACATCAGAGTGCGTGTGTTCCTTAATGCGACGGAGGATCAACCATCTATCACATTTAATATATCCGAAAGCAATTGACAAGGCAACGAGCATGTAGCTGAACCGCTAGATCGTTGGACTAATAACCAAGAGGGCGCGTCCTCGAGCCTCAGGTGCCCACAAACCTACAGTTGGATAAGACTGGCTGGCAACGGCCACCAACCCAGAAATGGCCATCCGACCTCCCTAGTTTTCATCGGTAGTCTCCCTGTGCTGAAAGATTCCCGCACATGGTGCGTCAGCTCCACGACGGGATGATCACGCGCGTCACGGGCATTCGCAGTGACCAAGGGAGTGAATCAGGGCTAAGTACTCACTCCAACCCTCTTCAATCTCATGTCCTCTGTCATTCTGGTGAACGCCGACAGTGATCAGTGCCCTAGGGTACGCATCCCCCCAGAACTCACGAACATCTTCCGAACAGCGGGCGCATGTAGGCCTCAAGGCGGCTCTCCATGACTACAGTCCACGATCTGCTCTTCGCCGACGACTGCATGCTCAACACCGTGATCGAAGCAGATATGCAATGGAGCATGGACCTCTTCTCCGACAGAAAAAAGGGTTGAAAAAATAACTGAGTTCTATTTAATACCCTTCGTTCTCAGAGCAGTGTGTCTTTGCTCGATTAAATAGAGTGTTAACAGAACTCCGTTTGTGAGCAATAGGGTGGTTGCTCTCATAATGTACGATAACTTCCACATAAGCTTTTTGTGGTATACTGATGTGTGGAATGTCCCGTCAGCTTTTCGCTGTACGAGGACATCAAGAAATAGGAGTTTGTTGTCAGCTTTTTCAATCGTGAAGGTGATTCCCGGTAGTGTTGAGTTGATAACGTTTTGCAGCATCTCCATCTGATCTCTCTTGAAGATTAAAAAGGTGTCACCTACAATAAGTGACCTATCTCATGAAATCTGAGAACGGAAACTGTCAGTTCTATTTAAATTTATAAGCACCGACCGGCATGATGGCATGTCACCTCATGAAAACTTTTGATCCTATGACGTCCTCATCGGCAAAATCAAACAAAATCCACCTTCTCTTGTTGAACTTCATCTCATTTAACTCCAAATTGTCAAGGGAATTATCAACACTGGAAAACTGTTTTGGGATCTACACCCAGAATGTGGGCAGTTGAAAAACCGTCATATATGAAGTCACACTACTTATTAAACGATATTTAGATGTAAACTTTCATATTTACTACGTGTTTCGTATGAGAATACATTCTATACATCTAAAAGCGAACTCTACTTAATTTGAGCCATTTCTGACGTTTTCGGGATATTGCGCCTTTCAAAATAAATCGACATCTCTAAACAACGCAACACTGCCTATAATATTTCTTTTATGCCTTTAATTCTTTTAAACTTGTACTTAATTGACATTGATATTTGATTCATGAAATGGTGTCGGTTTGCGAGTGATTGGCAATCATTCGTAAATTTCTACACATTTCATGAAATAGGTCACTAACTGTACGTAGCGTACCCGTAATTTGGGCTTGAATAATGGTGGAGCCATAGCCTATAATTTTTGCACTGTGATCTCAGCCAGAAAGCCAGAAATAGGTGATCCTATATGAGCCCCTTTCAGATGTCGATGATATTCAAATGCGAACGAAAAGTTTGTTTCCAGACAAAGGTCCAAGAGCTCGAGTAGAGCAGGTGCATAAACATCGATGACGTAGGATTGTAGGAGTTCTTCTGTGCACTGCCTTACCAGATCGAATGGTGTGGACGTGAATAGAGAGACAACATCGAACCATACCATTATCTCATCCGTATCAATAGGGAGTCCTCGTATTTTATTCAGAAATTCAATAGAATTCTCAACTGAAGTCTCAAAAGCCCTTGTTAATGGATGGACTTTGTGGAAAAGCCATTTAGAAATCCTGTAATTCGGTGCACCGATTAAGAATACCATCGGTCGCAATGGTACGTCGGATTTGTGGACTTTCGGTAGTCCATAAATTTTGGCGATTGTTGGTTGAGTTTGTCTTAGGTTTTTGAAATTTCTCCTGGTATTTGCTTTTTTTGCAAGACGTTTCAGCACGTTGTCGGTGAATGAATTCTGTACTTTGGTGGGGTCCAGGGTGAGAGGCATATAAGTTGATCTATCTTCAAACATTGATAGCATCTTATTATTGCAATCTTCTGCGTTTAAAATTGCAGTTGAGCCTCCTTTGTCTGCAGGAAGAATGATGATGTTTTTGTCTTTTTTCAGGGTCTTCAGTGCCTTCATTTCATCGTGTGACAAAACTGAAAAATAGTTTCGGTTTTTTAGGGCTTGTACAGTGCTATTCGGGATTGTGAAACGTTCGTCTGTGAAATTATCTAATGCCATGATGGACTCCAAGTTTGCAAGGAAGTCTAGGTATTTCGAATCGGGGAAATTTTTCATACCCTCGGAAAGTACATCCTCTTCCATTATTGTGAGGGCTCTCGATGACAGATTTACTACCTTACTTTAATGATTGTGGTTTGCGTTATTTCGCCGAGACATCGACATCCACTTCCTGTCTAAGATACTTCTCTTCTTTTCCAGTTCGATGTCGGAAACGTAGGTGATCGTTTCACATAGAGACTCAAGTAAGTGTAAACGTAAGTTAAGTAGCACCAACAACGACGAAGGAGACAAAGACAACATTTCCTAGTCTTTTGGCCGTCGTCGACATGCCTTGCTCAACTCCATATCTGGATGACCTTCGGTGCGAACCTGACTTCTTTGGTCCTTAAGCGTTAAGCAGCCCAAGGATGTGCTCGTAAGCCATAAGTGCATGATAATATTCACTGTCGTAAGAAGGACCTTCACTGATCACGTTATGGGACATGTTAGACCCTTTGCGTCCCCTTTCTTGCATATGCATTGCTGGTTGTTATGTCACTCCCAACAAGGGCTCTCGATTGAACTCCAAGGCCCAACGGGGCGAGTACATGCTATTAGCTAACCAGCGAACGCCCTTCCTGAGATAGGTACTGTGGTAATTCGTGGTCATCGTAGGTCTTTTTTGAGAGACATGTATGCATACATCAATTTATCTTAAAGAAAACGCATAGCTAGTGATTCGGGATAGTTAGGGACATGCGAAACTCAAATCAAACTTGAAAATAAAAGTAAAATCAGAAAAAAATAAAATGGAAATCACTCCATTTTGTCAAGTGTCATAAGTTGAAGAGACAAAAGTTCTTAGTAGAGGAAATGCATTTTCGCTTCCTTATTTTTCGACGATGAAATCCAATGTGTAAGTAGAATCGAAAATTAACGGGTGAAATTGGCAGGACCTTAGTTGTGATTTTTCCCACTTTTGGTTGCACAGAAAATTCAAAAGCACTTTAAAATAAATATAGCACTTTGTCGCGCAAGCGCAAGCTCAGGTGTATTTCCCACACAGCTGTCCTGTAATTTCACTAAAATATATTTTTTCCCATTTGAAGGAGTACTCAGTAAGTTCATTTAGTGTTTTGAGATTTACAATATCTGAAGAAGAATACTTTGGAGGTGGCGGTTTCTCTGCCTCTGCCGAGGCAGGAACGCGCTCCAGCAACTTAAAATTTCAGCACAAAAATAAAGTTGGGTCGAAAGCAATTTAGACAATTACACCCGGCTACTTACGGTCAAGTTGTCAGGAGGT